AGAAACAGCAGAGCTGAATGAGACGCAGATTCACTCTCTGCCAGCAGGTGGAGCTTAAAGCGTTTCCTTGGTTTCGTTGTAAACAAAGCAGCGCTGCACTTATGAACTTTAATATGCATTATATAGAGGCAAGAGGAAAATAAAAAATACCATCGAAAGACAGTAAGTTCCCCTCAGACATGCATTCATATAAACTCCTACCCCTAACTGAATTGCGATTTGTTTAGCATCTCAACCGATTTGAATCGTCACATATTTAAATCGATTATCATCCGGCTCGCGGTTAATCGTTACATCCCTACTTATATTTCATCACATTTTTGGGACATTTTTCTAATTAATTTTCTTAAGTTAATTTTATATTTTATTTAATAATACTTTTGAAAGTGTTTGCCATATTTACAAAAAAAAAAATATATATATATATATATAAACATTTATTATTAAAATACTATTAGAATGTATATATAATCCTTTTAATAGGTTTTTTATATGTTTTTAAGTACATTTATTTAATTTATATACACAGTTTGATTTTCTGTTGAGCTTTTTGAGAGACTGTGTATTGTGAAAAGCACTATACAAATACATTTGACTTAACTTGATTTAAATATGTTCATATTGTTCAAAATATCTTTTAAAAATGCATTTTACAATAACCCAAAATGTATTATAATATTGGAAATGTATTTTCTTTTTAATACAATTTGGCATTTGAATGTTTCAACAAAATATATTTAGAATTTGAAAAATATTTCGGACTGTATATGTTGTACTGTTTACAACATGTATTTAGCATAGATTCGACATACAGTATATGTTGGCTAGAAATAAATAGTTTTTTGCCGTGTAGAGTAGCTTCCCAACCTTAATGGTTTATTTGCTAGATATTTTGGCTAATTTGATTCTGCTTTTAGTCTACTTCTGTTTTTAGATTGCAGAGAACGTGCTTTTCCCAGCAGAGCTGCTTTCAGAAGTGTGTGAACTGCGTTTGAGCTCCTGCTTTCTTCACTGCTCAGGAACTGAGATTTGATCATTTCCTGAGCGAGGTCCAGGAAGTCAAGGAAAGCACTGAAGGATCATTTCCTCTG